GTACCAAGAACATCTATTGAGGATAGGACAGCCTCTTCAATAAATGGTGCTGGGGAATCTGGGTATCCGTATGCAGAAGAATGAAACTAGACCCCTATCTCTCACCATCTAAACCATCTACAAAAATAAAATGAAAATGGATTAAAGACTTAAATCTAACACCTGAAACTATGAAAGTACTAGAAGAAAACACTGGAAAGATGCTTCAGGAGACTGGTCTGGACAAAGATTTTTTGGGGTAAGACTTCAAAAGCATAAGCAACAAAAGGAAAAATAAGTAAGATTATATTAAGCTAAAAATTTTTGCACAGCAAAAGAATCAACAGATGAAGAGACAATCCACAGAATGGGAGAAAATATTTGTAAACTATCCATAGACAAGGGAAAAATATTAATAACCAGAATGTATATGGAACTCAACTCAATATAAAATAATAATTTGATTAAAAATGGGCAAATGATCTCAACAGACATTTCTCCAAAGAAGACATAAATGGCCAACAGGTATGTGAAAACATGCTCGACATCTTTAATCATCAGGGAAATGCAAAGCAAAACCACAATGAGATATTATCTTACCCCAGTTAAAATGGCTATTATCAAAAAGAAAAAAAATAACAGATGTAGGCAAGGACACAGAGAAAGATAATTTGCATGCATTTTTGGTGGGAATGTAAAAATTAGTACAGCCAATATAGAAAACAGTATGGAAGTTCCTTTAAACACAAACATAGAATGATTAGGTTGTTGCAAAATTAACTACAGAATACTGTGTGATCTAGAAATCCTATTGCTGGGTATATATCCAAAAGAAAGAAAGTAAGTATAACAGAGTTATCTGCAGAAAGAAATAATAAATGTTTGAGGGGACAGATACCCCAATTGATTATAAACATATGTTGAAATATTACATGTATCTCATAAATACATACAATTATTATGTACCAATAATATGAAAAGATAAGGCACAAACTAGGATATAATATTTGCAAAAGATATCTGAAACGGACTTGTAAAGGAGATATATAAAGAACTCTTCTAATGTAATAAGCAACAGCAAACTATCCAATAAAAAATGGGCCAAGTATTTAAGCAGGCACTTCATCTAAGAAGATACATGAATGCCAAACAAGCACAAAAACAATGATACTCAATATTAGTCATTAGGAAAATCAACTTAAAGCCATAAGGTACAACATATCCACTAGAATGGCTACTGTGACAAAACAAAATAAAAACAAAGGGTGGGCAAGGTGGAGAAACTAGAAACTTCTCCATATGTTGTTTGTAGGAATGTAAAATGTACAGCAGCTTGGAAAACAATTTAGCATGTCTTAAAAAGTTGAACATAAACCTGCTATACAACTCTTCATTCTACACCCAGCTATTTGCCAACGAGAAATGAAAATTATACGTTCACAAGACTTGCATGCAAATGCTCACAGCAGCATTCATAATAGTCAAAACCCAAACACAATAAATGCCATGAATAAACCTCAGAAATAAATATATTATATGATTGCAGTTATATGAAATTTTAGAAAAGTTAAAGCTATAATGGTAGAAGACTAGTGATCGCCTAGGGCAAACAGTGGGTGAGAGGATTAACTGAAATCGGCAAGAGGGAACTTTTGTAAATGACAGATGTATTCTAAAGCTGGATTTTGGTGAAGGTTGTGCAACTACAGTAATTCACTAAAACTCACTAAATTCTACAGTTAGCATAGATGAATTCAGTGATATGTGAATTATTTCTCAATAAAGCTTTTTTTAAAAAAAAAAAAAAAAGAAGAAGAAAGCCCATCTGCAAGCCTTTGAAAATAAAATGTTCCCCCCAAAAAAGGTTAGAGAGAACAAAGTCAGATTACAAACAAAATAATGACAAAGTGACATAGGGTTCTCATCAATACATGCCAAAATATAATGGTTTTCTCTTACCTTATACAAATATCAACTCAAGATGGATCAAAGACTTAAATATAAGACCTGAAACCATAAAAATTCTAGAAGATAACAATAGAAAAACTTCTGGATATTGGCTTAGGCAAAAAGTTCATGACCAAGAGTCCAAAAGCACATGCAACAAAAACAAAGATAGATAAGATCTAATTAAACTAAAAAGCTTCTGCACAGCAAAAGAGATAATCAACGGAGTAAACAGACAACGCACAGAGTGGGAGAAAATATTCCCAAACCATGCATCTGACAAAGGACTAATATCAAGAATCTGTAAGAAACTCAAAAAGTCAGCAAGAAAAAACAAATAATCCCAACAAAAGTGGGCTAGGAACATGAATAGACAATTCTCAAAAGAAGATATACAAATGGCCAACATATGAAAAATGCTCAACATCCCTAATTATCAGAGAAATGCAAATCAAAACCACAATGCAATACCACTTAACTCCTTCAAGAATGGCCTAATTTAAAAATAAATAACAGATATTGGCATGGATGTGGTGAAAAGGGAACAGTTTTACGCTACTGGCAGGAATGTAAACTACTACAACCACTATAGAAAACTGTATGGAGATTCCTTAAAGAACTGAAAATAGAACTACCATTCAATCAAGCAATCACACTACTGGGTACCTACCCAGAGGAAAATCATTCATTATATGAAAAAGATACTTGCACACACATTTATAGCAGCACAATTCACAACTGCAAAAATATGGAGGGAGTCTAAATGCTCATCAATCAATGAGTGGATAAAGAAAATGTTATATGTACATAAATATTTATATGTATACACACACACCATGGACTACTACTACTCAGCCATAAAAAGGAATAAAATAACAGCATTCACAGCAATATGGATGGAATTGGTGACCATTATTCTAAGTGAAGTAACTCAGGAATGGAAACCCAAACATCGAATGTTCTCACTCATATGTCGGAGTTAAGCTATAAGAATACAAAGGCATAAAATGATATAATGAACTCTAGGAACTCAAGAGGGAAGGGTCAGAGGTGGGTGAGGGATAAAAGACTACACATGGGGTATAGTGTGCACTGTTTGGATGACGGGTGCACCAAAATCTCAGAAATCACCACTTACGAATTTATCCATGTAATCAAACACCACCTGTTTCCCCAAAAACTATTGAAATAATCATTTTTAAAAAGGTAATCATTAATATTTTTCAATATATCATTTCCCAGATGTACAGGGAAAAAAACTGCTATTATTCTTTAATTCTGCAGCCAACTTAACCATTAATTCAAGAAAAAGGATGAAATTGAGACCTTTATAGACATGAAAATTTAGAGTTTGCTACTCATTCTCATTGCAAGAAATACTGGCCAGGCACAGTGGCTCATGCCTATAATCCCAGTACTCTGAGAGGTTGAGGTAGGAGATCACTTGAGCCCAGGAGTTTGAGACCAGCTTGGGCAACATGACAAAACCCCATCTCCACAAAAAATTAGCTGGGCATGGTGGCACCTGCCCCGTAGTCAGACAACTGATGTGGAAGAAACATCTGAGCCCAGGGTGTCTAAGTCTGGAGTGAGCTATGATCATGCCACTGCACTCCAGCCTGGGTGAGCAAGAGGGTGAGATTCCAGAGAGAGGGGGGGGAGAGAGAGAGAGAGAGAGAGAGAGAGAGAGAGAGAGAGAGAGAGAGAGAGAGAGAGAGAGAGGGCGCGAGCGCATGCGCGCACGCGCTAGACAGGGTGGGGGAGGGAGGGAAGAAAAGAAAGAAGGAAGGGAAGGCAGGGAAGGGAAAAGAGTAGGGAAGGGAGGAGTGGAGGGGAGGAGGCAGAGGAAAAAGAAGAAAGAAGGAAGCAAAGAAGGAAGGAGGGAGGGAAGAGAAA